TGATGTGTAGCATTTGCCCATCCCTGTGGTGGAAAGATTCCCCAGTCACGGTCACTTTCACGCTCCTGTCGTGAAGTCAACCAGCTTGCAGAATTCCTGGAAATCTGACGATCAGCTCTTGTGAGCTCGTTCCTTGCGCCACTGGGATGCCCAGATCTTTCCGTGTGGCCTGTGTTCGCTGTCGATTATGGGCTTCGCGTCCCCACCTCCTGGAAGGCCCTGCACCTCAGCCGTGCGGTCCCCTCACACCCCACCTGGTGTCCCACCTTGGCCTCCGTGCAGCTGCTTCGAGCAGGAAGTAGGCAGCCTGCGCCGGAGAACTTCCCCTTCGCTTTCCAACGCCTTGACTCAGGTCTCTCTGCTGAGGCCGGAACAAGGGACCGAGCCTAAAGATCCTAAGGGCTCTTTCCGTTTTTCTCATCTGGGATTTTGTATCCACAGCCTGGCTCATTTGCTGCTGTATCAAAGTAACTCTCTTCTTGGTTTCCTTTTTTCTGGCATTCTCAACTTTCCCCACTAACCACAGATCAGAACTCCTTTTTCCTGACTGTGCGCTCTCCTTTGTCCTTACAGAGGCAGCACCAGACAGAGCACTTCAGTCCCTGCCGCCGCCGCCGCTGGTGCCGCAGGCCCTTGTCACCTCCTGCCTGGGGCCGCTCCATGCTCCCCAATGCTCCCTATAGTGCTGCCAGTTCCTCCTCTAAAAGCACAGCCCGTGTTCTTTCCTGGCCCCCAGGCTGACAGCAACGCCGTGCGACTGTTGGAGCCCTTCTGTCTGACTTGGAAGCTTCTCTCAGCACCAGCTTCGTCCAAGTGCACCCTTCCAGCCCACATCGTCCCCCGTGAGCTTGGCGCTGCAGGCACACAGGTCCCCTCTTTCCTCTGCGCCCCGTCCCGCCCCCTGTGAGGTCCCCCCGCCCCCGCTGCACCGGAGCCTCTGTTCTGTCGAGTCCTGCTCGCACCCCCAGGAGCCCACACAGGTGCACCTTCCCTGGGACGTCCTGCCGTGGCTGAGTGACGACCTGTGCACACCGCTCATTTTTGTCTTTGGTTCTCTCTTTTTATTTGTAACACTTTTATTGAGATTTCACCCATTTTGAAAAAAAATTTTTTTAGTGTTTATTTTTGAGAGGGAGAGAGAGACACACAGAGTGTGAGCAGGGGAGGGGCAGAGAGAGCGGGAGACACAGTCTCCGAAGCAGGCTCCAGGTTCTGAGCTGTTGACGTGGGGCTCGCACCCGTGAACCGCGAGATCATGACCTGAGCCCAGTTTGGATGCTTAACCGACTGTGCCACCCAGGCGCCCCAACAACTCACCCATTTAAAGCTCACCTTTCAATGGTTTCTGGGATTTTCATAGGTATGTGTAACTATCATTATAATAGTTTTTAGAACATTTTTAAGGAGCCCCCTCCCAATCTCTTACCTTCTAGCTCTCAGTCCCCACTTGTCCTGGTTCGCCCAGCTGAATGCGGCCACTAGTCTACTTTTATCTCTAGAATTAGCCTGTTCTGGACATTTCAAATCCGTGGAATTATGCAGTATGTTGCCTTTTGTGTCTGGCTTATTTCCTGTAGCGTGATGCTTTCAGGTTTTGTGCATTTGGTAGTGAGTGTCCGTATTTCATTCCTTTTTACAGCCCATTAATGTTCCCTTGATGGGCAGACCATATTTTTCTTTTCCATTTGTCAGGTGGAGAACATTGGGTTCTTTACACTTTTTGGCTCTTATGGATAATGCCGATAAGAATGTTCATGTACACGTTTTTGTGGGGATCTGTATTTTCATTTCTCTTGAGTAGATGCCTAGGAATGGAATTGCCAGATCAAATGGTAACTCTCTGTTTAGCCTTGAGGAACTTCCAGACCGTTTTCCACAGTGGCTCTGGAACTTTATATTGCCATCAGCAGTGTACGAGTGTTCTGATTTCTCCCTATCTTTGCCGACATTTGTTACTATTGGACCTAAAAACATTCTTTTTATGTTTATTTTTGAGAGAGACAGAGTGAGAGCAGGGAAAGGGAGAGAGGGAGGCACAGAGTCTGAAGCGGGCTCCAGGCTCTGAGCTGTCAGCACAGAGCCTGACGTGGGGCTCGAACCCATGAACTGTGAGATCATGGCCTGAGCCAAAGTTGGATGTTTAACCAACTGAGCCAGGCACTCCTCAGGCTTTTTGATTATAGGCTTCCTAGTGGGTGTGAAGTAGTATCTCATTGTGGTTTGAATTTGCGTGTCTCTAATGACAAACGATATTGAGCAACTTTTCATTTGCTTATTGGCCATTCGTAGATCCTTCTTGGAGAAATATCTTTTCAGATATCTTTTTGCTCATTTTAAAAATTGGGTTATTTTGGGGCACCTGGGTGGCTCAGTCGGTTAAGCGTCCGACTTCGGCTCAGATCGCGATCTCGTGGTTCGTGGGTTCGAGCCCCACGTCGGGCTCTGTGCTGACAGCTCAGAGCTTGGATCCTGCTTCAGATGCTGTGTCTCCCCCTCTGTCTGCCCCTCACCTGCTCATGCTCTGTCTCTCTGTCTCAAAAATAAAAACTATAAAAAAATAAAAAAAATAATTGGGTTATTTTTCTTTGTATCACTGACTCGTGGGAGTTGTGCACTCACTGTAGACACACAGACTTTGTCACATGCATGGTTGCAGATATTTTCTCCCATCTTGGAAGTTGCCTTCTCACTTGCTTTATTGGGTCTTTGGTACGTATTGTAAAATTTGAAGGAAGTCCAAAATGATCTCATTTTCTTTGGTTGCTTGTGCTTCTGGTGTCATATCTACAAATCCATTGCCAAAGCCAAGGTCATAAAGACTTCCGCTTATATTTTCTTTTGTTTACCTGTATATCGTTTCAGCTTCTACATTTAGGTCTCTGATCCAGTTTGGCTTAACGTTTATATACGGTGTGAGGTAGGTGTTCAGCTTCCTTCTTTTGCATTTCGAAATCCAGCTCTACCTACACCGTCCGTTGAAGAGACAAATGGGGGGGGGGGTGTCTTTCCCGTTTAGACTGTCCTGGCCCCTTGTCAGTCTGTTGAACTTAGACATATAGGCGTATTTCTGCATTCTCCATTCTCTTCCACTCCTGCATAAGCTTGGAGCTCCCTGTACTATATCATTAATTAGTTACTTAATTTGTATTTATTTGAAATACTAGAGGGACTCGGTTATTATTATTATAATCTTTTGTTGCTAAACAAAACAGTGAAAACACAGAAGTGCCCAGAGTGACCATCCTGCCTCAGCTGCTCCTGACCCCACTCACACGATGCTCCTGTGTGTTTCCTCTGTAGCCTCACAGATGTCCACCCCTCACTAGATACATGTGTTTGTGTATATGTATTCTCTCTCTCTAAAATAATAAGAAAAATTGAGCTATACATAGGGTTCTATGACTTTAAAAAATCAGGAGCACATCCCATATGCCCTTCCAAGTCAGTCGTACGTGTTTTACCTCATTCTTTCTTTTCTTTTTTTAAAGTTTGAGAGAGTGAGAGAGAGGGAGAGAGAGCGTGAGTGAGGAGGGGAGGGGCAGAGAGAGGGAGAGAGAGAGAGAGAGAGAGAGAATCCCAAGCAGGCTCTGCACTGACAGTGCAGAGCCCGACGTGGGGCTCTTGCTCATGAACTATGAGATCATGACCTGAGCCAAGATCAAGAGTCAGACGCTTAACTGACTGAGCCACCCAGGAGCCCCTGTGTCATTCTTTCTTTTTCTTTTCTTCTTCATCTTCTTTTTTTAATGTTTATTTATTTTTGAGAAAGAGAGAGAGAGAGCAAGGGAGGGACACAGAGAGGGAGACACGGAATCCGAAGCGGGCTCCAGGCTCTGAGCTGTCAGCACAGAGCCCGACGCGGGGTTTGAACCCATGAGACACGAGATCCTGACCTGAGCTGAGTCGATTGCTGAAGCAACTGAGCCACCCAGGCACCCCTGCGTCATTCTTTCTTAATAGCTCCATAATACTTCATAGAAGGTGCACACCATCATTTCCATAACTAGTTCCTTATTGTTGCATATTTATGTGTTTTTAAAAAATTTTTGTTTTTGTTTTATTTTGCTACTCCATTTCTGCCGTGTACCTGTGGGAGCAGTTTTCTCAGCGGGATACCCAGAAGTGGAGTTGCTGACGATGGCTTTTGTCTTAAAGTAGTGTTTAAAGTTCTTCCCTCAGCTGTGCTTTGTGATGCCTTGCACATATTAGGCACTTAATAAATATTTACTGAAGTGAACTCTTAAGGGTTTTTAGTCTGGATTTATCCCTAGCTTGCTGTTTCATTTCAGTAAACTGTTTTATGACACCCTCATGCCCATTTCACTTCCTCTGAAATGAATGGAAGCGTCAGTTATCCAGTCTTCATTCAGGGGGAGCCGGGGTGGACTGAGTCCGGCCAGGTTGTGGCATGTGCTCTGTGTGGGGTGCTGGGGGTGCACAGAGGAGGGGGGGTTGCCCCAGCCCTGCAGGTGTTTGCGCACGTTTAGGATGAGGCAGGCAGGGTGTGCGGTTCTTCCCGAAGAGCATCTGTGTTGTGATGGGAATGAAAGGAAGGGACACAGATGTGTCCCTTGGGTGCTGTCTGGGAAGGCCTCGTGGAGGAGGCGCATTGAGATGCCCTGAAGAGAAATGGAGGCTTTGGACAGGTGTACACGTCCTGGGGCTGGACGGCTGCGGCTGCTTCTCGGCAGAGGAGCCACGTAAAGAAGGCGGAGGAGGTGAGGAAGGTGGCCCCGCGGTGTCAGGCCTGCGCAGGGGGCAGCTGGAAAGCCAGCCGTTGGCATGCGCCGATCGGCCCCGGGGTCCACACTGGGCTTTGGGGCCAATCTGCTGGGCGTCAGGCCACCTTGGGAGGTTTTGAGTTGAATTCCGCTATTAAAGTTGGTCTGGAGGAAGTGGTGTGCTCAGGGGCATGGAGGACGGGGAGTCTGCATTTCCAGAGGCTTCTCTGATACAACTTTTCCCCTGTGCTTCTCTTCCCATCCTCAACTCTTCCCCAGCTGTCCGAAAACGTGGTTAACCGCATGAAGGACCCCAGCCAGCCCTGCAAAGCTGGGGGGCCAGCTCCGTCTCCTGCCCCTTCACCGTCTACACGTGGCACCTCTGAAGGCCCGCAGAAAGGTACGGCGGGGCGCAGGGATTCTGGGGCGGGGCGGGGAATCGGTGACGAGAGCCTTCCTGTCACAACAGATCTGACAGCTAATGGGGCTCCTCTTTGTTTCTGGGCGACCAAGCAAGCCCTCTCTGATAACCGCTTTTCAGAAGAGTGTCACTTTCCGAGAGGGATAGGCCCTCAGAGGGCCTGTGACTGGGCCACACCGGTTTCCCGCTGTTTGAGTTTCTGGATAAGTAACAGATGAGGCCAAAGGGCTGGGTGTGACGGCTCAGCTAAGGAGTCGCTGTTGAGGATCCCCAGGGAAGCGTTGCCATTACCGTTCGGTGGGGCTCAAGGAGCCATAGGGACTTACCCACTCGGGGCAGCGCGGGGGAGTTGGTTCGAGGGGGAGGGGGTGGTGGGGGGAGGGGAGGTCCCTCCTCCCACGCGCATGCTGGCCAGAGCTCATTTGTTCCCTCTTGTGCTTTTCTCTGAATGGCTCCCAGCGAACAAAGGAATGAAACCATGTAAGAAAGGACAGAAGCTGCAGGAATATACAAGATATTACACCCAAGAAGAGTCCTTGGGGCAGCCTCTCCTCTGTTGAGCAAACACTTGTTGGTGAGAATCTGGGTCTTCAGTATCACCCGCAGCTTGTCTTTTCTGCCGGCCCTCCGCACCGGGCTGCAACAGGGTAGATAGACGGCAGGGGCTGCACCCTGTCCGCTCAGCATTTCCTGGCAGCTGGCCAGGGATCGGGCCCGTGTGCTGGTGAGGGCGCCCGGCGATGGGTGCACAGGGGTGGCCCCCTTGCAGCACACACAGCCCTGGTGAAGGGGGTGCGTGTGTAACGCTGTAGGGTGTGTGTATTGTCCTCGAAGCATGGCTGTGGCCGGGACAGCACAGAGGAGTAGGCACTCATTATTTTAGGGAGGGGCCTCAAGGGGAGGTGATGTTTCAACTGGATTTTGCAAGACAGAGCAGTGGTACAGAGATTAACCTCCGCAGAAGCAGAGGCCCAGAGGTGCGGCACAGCCCGGCCTGTGTGGGGCCCTCTAAGCCACATGCTGTCTCTGGGGTACAAAGTGCAAGCAAAGGGGAGCCCTCAGGGCGGGGCTCAGGGGCCGGGTCACAGATCTACAGGGGGTGGGGGGAGGCACCCAGCCAGGCCTTGTATTGTCTGCCTCAGGGCTTCCTGAACCTGCCCTGAAGTCTCTGAATATCTGTCAGCAAAGGGGTGAGTGACATTTCTCGAAACCCTTGCATGAGGCTCTTGTACTTTAAAAAAAAAAAAAAGGGTGGTTCCCCCCTGAGACCTCTAGCAGCTGATGGGAGGGGGTGTCCCAGAGGGCTCTGACTCCCCCCAGCACACTTCAGTAAACTGAGGTCACCGGGGAGAGGGAAGCAGTGACGAGAGAAGCCAAGGAGGCCGAAGCATATCACGCGCATGTCTGTCCCGCTTTGGAAGATAAAAGAGGCGTTGGGTTCAGTCTTGGGCGTGTTTTAGCAGTTCAAGCGGCAAGAGCGTCGGCTCATTTGCCCTTTGGTTCGAGTTAAACGAAAGTACGTTGCTGTTTAGATGGTGGTGGGTTTGGGTCTCTGAATGCTGGAGAATAGTCAGCATAAACGGGCTGTCTTGAAGTTGACTAATTTTAAGATATTTTTACTTTTAAAATCAGTGTTTGCTTTTATTTTAGCGATGGAACAAGATTAGAGAAGGAAGTTAAAATTAAATCCTTATGTCACACCATACCTCAGAATAAATGTCAGAGGAAATAAAAGATTTAAATGTACGAGCCGAAGCCACGAGTACAATAACAGTGCGTACAAGGACAATAAGTAGACTCTTTCAGCACTTCATCAAGTGCAGAAACCGTAAATTAAGGCGCAAAGTGGGAAGTGTAACTATAAGAAATTAGGCAACCTAGAAAAAATAAGAGAAGAATGAATGATAAACTATGACAGCGAATCAATAGCCCTAATGCAGAGAGTTCTTGACGATCTTTGACGGCTCAGGAGAAGATGTGCACGAAGCGTGAGCGTGTGGTGAGATTCTGCGCTTTGCCAGCAGTGACAGACCACGCGGAACAGCGGGGCCAGCGGGGGGCGGGGCAGCGGGCAGGCTCCTGCGGGCGAGGTGGGACTGTGGGTCAGTGCCGCGTCCTCTGCCTTCGGGGAGCTCCGTTCTTTCCGTAGTTACGACAAGAGAAAATTGTAAGAAAAGCAAAAGCGAACGTGATCAATTACACCTCAATAAAAGCTGCTGGAAGGAAACCAATGAGAACAGGGAGCATTACGTCAGAGGCAAACCGGGTAACAGTTTGTTGATTTGTATTCCCATTGGAGAACCTGGCATGTCACCCGCGGCCACTTCGGGCGCCCTCCCGGGCCGGAGCGCCGCTGTGCCCATCCTTCCGCGAGCGGGAAGCATAGGATGATTACTTTTGGACGCGTCTCCCCGAGGGGCTGAGAGCCGGAGCCCCGCACTCAGCAGGCTTTGAGAGGTCTAGGCAGCGGGGTAGCCAGTCCTCGCGTGTTCTGTCCCCAAGCCTGGCTCTTCTGCAGTGTCGGGGTGCGGTCCTCCACGCTGCAGGGGCGGGACGTGCGGCAAGGCCGCAGAAGTGTTGAGCTTGGGCTGGAAGATGGTTTGGGAAGGGTGAAGGCTGCGGGGAGAGCGAGGGGTCCTGACACCTTGAGTGTCACCAAGAGGTGGAGACAGTGGAGTGGACTGGATGTGTTGGAAATTGCCAAGTTCATGGCCGTCGAGCGGTAGTTCCACTCTTAACAATTAGAGGTGATGCAGGTCGAGTGATGGATAAAGTGTTACTGATATGGAGGTGTTTGCCACCTTTAGCGGTAGAAATCTGTGGAACGGGTTACTGCGGGAGACGCTGAAGGAGCACAGAGCCCCAGGCGTGCCCTCCCCCACGTCTGAGGAACCCGGGGGGCCGGCCGGTCTGCACAGGGCAGAGGGGACGGTCCCCTCAGCCTTTCCGGGCCCTGGTACAGGATGGGGGGCAGGCGGGCATCGGGCTGGGCCTCTCCAGACCGGCTGGTTCAGGGATGTGTTCTGTGTCCGTGAGGCACCCCGTCCAGAGTGGGGCACTCCAGACCCTTTCCCAGGTGGCTGCCGTGCCTTTGTTGATCCTGGGGTGCTGCTGACTGGCTTCTCCTTCTCATCCCTCTGCAGACTCCAAACCGCCCAGCTCCGAGTCTGGTGGTGGCCGGCAGCCCCCGGGCGGGGAGGACGATTTCCTCAAGAGGTAAGCCCCCCCCCCCCCCCCCCGGCCCTGCGCTCTGACTGCGCGTTCTCTCCTCCCCAGGTCCCTTCCCCTTGCCTGAAGGTCCAGGCGTTTGCCTTACCCCCACTGCACCCCATGGGACAGGGGGCGCTGGTGCTGGTTTAAGATGAAGGAACCCCAGAATAGCCTGGGAGTGTTGTCTGCTGATGTTCTTAAAAATTCACTTTACAAAGGGCTCGCGGGGCGCCTGGGTGGCTCAGTCGGTGAGCGCCCGACTGCAGCTCAGGTCACGATCTCTCGGTTCCTGGGTTCGAGCCCTGCCTGGGGCTCTCTGCTCTTAGCACCGAGACTGCTTCGGGTCCTCTGTCCTTCCCTCTCTCTGCCCCTCCCCTGCTCATGTGCAGGCACATTCTCTCTCTCTCTCTCTTTCAAAAAAATAAAATCAAATAAAAAGTCAGGACTAGCTTTATGCAGTGGCAGTATCGTAGCCAAGGTTTGTCCGAGGTGCTGATTGGACACATGTCCCCAGACCCCGCCATGACCGCTTGAAGTATAGTTGGGGGAGGGGGTTACTAGGACTAAGTAGCTGAGTGGCCGAACCCTCTGTGTCTGTGCGTGCTGGCATATTCTTAGAGATAAGAAGAAGAAAGAAAAAGAGCCTCCCAATTCTTACTAGTTGCCTAGTTGGACTGCTCCAGCCCGTTGGTGACTTCCTGTCCATACAGACCATGACCACAGAGAGCTGGCTGCACCTCTGAACTGGACCTTCGTCCCCTCCCCCGAGGCTAAAATAGTGACTAAGGCACAGGGGCCCTCAGGGTGCGGGTCCACGTCCTGATTGCGTGCTGTGCTAGTGACCTGGGGAAATCACTACATTTCTCTGGGCCCTGGAGGAGGCGTAACCGGCCCATGTCTTTTGTTGGGGTAGTGTCACGATTAAATATGTTAACGTCTAAAAGCACTGAGGCCTAACACCTGGAGTTCTAGTGTCTGTTAATTGGTTGTTATTCACTGACCTCCTCTACACCCTTTAGGACTTTGGCCTTTGTAACAGGGGACCCAGCGAGGGAGCTCGGGGGGCCCGTGTCAGCCACAGTTGGGTGGCACTCTCAAGGAGGCCGGCTGAGCTGGGCTTGTTCCATAGCCATGGATTGAAACCCACATTCTAAGAATTTCCACTCTCTGATCCTAAGAGGCCTCTCCAAGAATAACTAACCTGAACCTTTTTTTTTTTTTTTTTTGTACTTATAAAACGTTCAGCTAACACATGCTAATGAAAGACTCGGCAAATATATAAAATGAAAAAAAATCACCCATAGATTCCTCATCTCAGAAAAACCCTCTTAATATTTTGAAGTGTTTCTTTCCAATGTCTTTTTTCCCCTCGTCTAGGATTCTTTTCTCAAAGTTATATATGATTTTATATCTTGTTTTTTTCACACAGTTTTAGAACTGTTTTCCATTTGTTATACCTGCTTTGTAAACAATTTGATTTCTTTTTTTTAAGTTTGAGTATCTATTTTTGAGAGAGAGAAAAAGAGAAGAGTGGGCGTACCCACACGCCAGAGGAGTGGCAGAGAGAGAGGGTGAGAGAATTTTCCCAGCAGGCTCTTAGCTGTCAGCACAGAACCCAATGTGGGGCTTGATCCCAGGAACCGTGAACTCCTGACCTGAGCTGACACCAAGAGTTGGACATTTAACTGACTGAGCCACCCAGGCACCCCAGCAATTTTATTTCTACAAGTATTGTTTATTCTCAATTTTTAGATTCAGCCTATTGACAAATCTAAGCGTATATTGGTCTAATGATGCTATAAGATACCATTGTATGCCACATATTCTTTAACTTGACCTTGATGTTGGACATTTAATATACACACCACACTACACTACAATAAATACACAATATATACTATAATACATAATTTCTACACTATAGTAAATAGTTCCTGTAAGAGCATCTTGATACTAATAACTTTTTTGTGTCTTTAGGATTATTTTACTAGGCAGAATGCGCAGAAATAGGTCAAAGGGTAGGCTGACATTCAGGATGGCAAGTTAAATGATCCAAACAAAAGATCGCTGTCTCTAAACCGTTGAAGCTTCAAGTGGAGGCAGAAGAAGGTGGAGCTTCCCACCTGCCTGCCTGCCTGCTGTGCAGAGTGACTGGCCGGGCCCGAGCCTGGGTCCCAGAGCCTCTTACTTGGCACGGGACTGTCTGATTCCTCATCTGGTGGCCCTGTCTCCTTTTCCTAAGCTGCACTGTCCTGGCCGAGAAAGTGTTGCTGCGTCCCCTAGCCCTGGGGACCGTCACAGATGCCTGGTGCTCCCCGGCGTCCCCTAGCCCTGGGGACCGTCACAGATGCCTGGTGCTCCCCGGCGTCCCCTAGCCCTGGGGACCGTCGCAGAGGCCTGGGGCTCCCCGGCGTCCCCTGGCCCTGGGGACCGTCGCAGGGGCCTGGGGCTCCCCGGCGTCCCCTGGCCCTGGGGACCGTCGCAGGGGCCTGGGGCTCCCCGGCGTCCCCTGGCCCTGGGGACCGTCGCAGGGGCCTGGGGCTCCCCTGCTGGCCTCAGAGGCCCCCTGGCCCATGGAGCCCTGCCCCCTGCCCGCTCAAGTGAGCTCGCAAGCCTTCTCGTGGCTGCCTTCTGCCAGCCGTGCCATCTGCATCTCTCTCCTGGCACAGGTACAAACAGGAGCAGGCCAGGGTCCAGGATGAGCTGTTGCAGGTGGTGGCGAGGGAGAGAGAGGCGGTCGCGGAGCACAGGAGTGCGTCCATGCAGCGCGGGGAAGGCAGCGGTGACCAGGAGAAGCAGAAGTCCCCCCCGCTGGTGAGTGCAGGCCTTCCTGAGCTGGCCTCCTGTGCTCCGGCCACACCGGGAGGCAGAGCTGAGGCCCTCGAGCCTGCTCTGTGTGAAGCCCGGTGGCCTGGCTACAGCTCTGTAGAAAGGACATCTTTTTGGGGACCAGGGGCTTGAGTGCTTCCAGCCTGGGCTCTGCTGCTTACTTGCTTTGCTGCCTTGGGCCTGTATTTTCAGGCTCTGGGGTGCTGTGGGGAGGGCTGGATCATTCGGCAGTCTGGTCCCACTCTGAAACGTCATGGTCATAATGGGTATGTGTGCCAGGAGGGATGGAGGGAGAGGACGATGCAGTAATGAGGTGGAGAGCGCAGTTTTAAAGGTAGGCAGCCTGGGTACCAATCCCAGCTCCCCCGCACGAGCTGGGCCCGCCCTCCAGCGCCTGTGAGCCTCCGTCGAGGATCGCGATGTGGGCACATAGGATTGCCCGAGGGATTAGGGGAGATCATTACCGTCCGGGACTTCGCATGTGCCTGGCAGATTATAAAAGCGCACCATTGCTGCTGTTACTGTTATTAGTACGTTTAATTGATTGGAGGCCATTAGTTAGGATTCTTCCTGCCGTGAGCAAGGGCTGTATTTCCCAACCCCAGCAGCCTTGAAATGCCCCACGGTTGGCTAACCGGTGGCTCCCTGGCCTCGTCGCAGAGCCCGCTCTCCTTCCGCTCTGCCATCGTCAGTGTGCCAGTGTGTCCTCGGGCCAGACGTTCCCACGGTTCAGACACCGCTGCCCTGCTCCCAGCAGGTCTTACGCGGACGGGGCCACACTCGGAAGAGGAGGAGGCTTTCCCGGAAGCCCCCAGCAGGAGGCCTCTGACGTCACACTGGCCGGAATGGCACCAGGTGCCCGTGGCTAAGCCAGTCCTCCGCAGAGGGACAGGGATGGCTGCGCTGACTGAAGCGAGGGCTCTGGTCATACTGGGCAACGGGTGGGTTTCCAGGTGGCACTGAGGCTGACGGTAATAATCCTCCCGATGGCGTTTCCACGTGGGAAAACCTGGAAGTTCTCTGACGCCAGCTGGGTGTCCGACATTAAAGTCTGTCCTCAGATCCAAAGGGTAAGGGCTCAGCGCACAAGACTGCCCCCTTCCCCCAGCCAGACCCCAGTTTACGGCCAGGTCACCACCTGTGCTTTCAGCGGACTGGTTGTTAGTTAGAGGGTCCCCCGAGCCCCTCATAGGACTGATCTGGCTTTGACCAATTTGCCAGACTGGCTCACAGAACTCAGGGAAACATCTAGCTTCCCGAAAAGATTCTAAAAGGACCTAAGTCAGGACCAGCCACGTGGGAGAGATACACATGGTGAGGTTTGTAGGGAGAGCGTGTTGAGGTTCCTTCCGCGTTCTGTGCCCCGGCACCCTCCCCCAGAACCGCTCCCTGTTCAACCCAGAAACGCTCTAAACCCCGTTGTTTTGGGGTGAAACTGGGGTGAGGCTTCCTTCCCTCGGTGTGATTGACCACACTGTTGGCCATTGGTGATTGAACTCAACCTCCGGCTCCTCCCCACTCCCCGGAGCTCAGGGCTGCGGCTGGAAGTTCCAGTCCCTGGGCCTTTGGTCGGCTCCACTGCTAACCAGCCAACATCCTTAGGTGCGGTCGAAAAGTCTCGTTGATGTGGAAAAGGCACCTCTATCTCTGTCATCACTTTAGAAATTCCAAGGGCTTCGGGAGCTCTGTGCCAGGAACAGTAAAGATGAAATAGTCCTTCTTCTGAATCAGGACATGCAGCAGGGAGGGTGGGAGGCGGGATGGAGGAGTGGCTGTAGCAGCATCTAGTGTCGTCTGCCCCAGAGGCCACGGGAGGCGAGCAGCAGCCTCAGGTGAGTGGCCTGGTGTCCCCTGTGCTCCACAGAAGGGAGATAGGGATGCAGTGAGACTGCGGGACTGTGCCCTGGGTCGTGCGGGGCGGGGCGGGGAGGGGGGGCAGGCCTCTGCACGTGTGTAGAAAGCCGCTGCGGCAGGCGCAGAAGACATGCTGATTGTGCTAGGCCCTCCGGGAAATGGGAACAATGTAGGGCCCTTGCCCTTGGGAAAGTTTCAGTGTCAACAATTATGTGCTTGAGAATGCAAAGGTAGTGGGGTCATCTGCTGGTGGAAGGCGGGACTTTGACTCAGCCTTGAGTGATGGGGGGGCCAGGCTGAGGGGCATCTGGAGGGAGACAGGTGGGCGTGGAGGAGGTGATGGACACATGAGAGAGGTGAGGGAGGCAGGAGGCCACCTTACAGAGGCCTCAGACACCTCGCCACCTTGACCCACAGAAGAGCTCGCCATGACTCGGAAACCGCGGAGGAGTCCCTGCAGTTGGTGAGGGTGCAGTGATGCGACCCGACCTGTGTCTCTCGAACCTGGGGCATCCCGCTGAAGCGTCCGCTGACGCAGAGAGAAGGGGGGTGAGGACGGGGTGTTAGAGCATCTTGCAGTGAGTCTCCGAGGGGCAGCCCTCCGCAGGGAGCTCACAGCCAAGCTGAAAGGACCCTGGCCCTGGCCACGAAGGGTTAATCAGTACACTTCAGCCAACAAAGGTGGCCCCTGGGACAGTCACCTAGCATGGAAAGTTGCCGCCTGCACCTGTGGTAGCGCTTCATTCTCACCTGGCTTCATTCTCACCTGGAACGTGTTAATTGCAAGGAGAGGCAAGTCACAGCTGCCCTTCTTCCACCTGTGAAGAAGGCCAGGCCCTGCCTCCTCAACGCTGTCCTTGGCCGAGCGAGCGGGAAGAGGCTTAAGTGACCTTCACCGTGGGCATGTGGGTTTTCTTTCCTGATGAAGGGTAACGTTAGCATAAAGAAGGCGCGTCTCTATTTGATTCTACCCCCTGCCCCCCCACCATTTCTGCATGGAGACCGCTCTTCTGAACCTGAGTTCTTCGGGAATAGTGAGGCAGGCGGCTTCCTTCGTTTTGAAAATGGTGATTAATGACTTTTGTGGATGTTGCCGTTTTTTGACTGCCGGCCTCCCCCTCTCTGTACAGGTAGTGCCCCGTTTCCTTTTGGGAATTTACCGGCCTCCTGGTGTGTGTTGTGTCAGCGGGCGTGCAACTCCAGGGCCCAGGTTCCCGAACGGATGCCAGCTCTTCTGTCCCTTTCCCTCAGGCTAGCCAGGGCCCGAGGGTGGACGGACAGACTCTCTCTGGGGGTTGGCGGTTTTTGAGGCAGTGAGGTGGCCAGGGCTGGACTGCTCCCTGCAGCTGAGTGAGGCCTGCTCAGACGACCTTCATCCAGGGCAGCTGTCTTGCTGTCTCCTGGACCTCCACCGTGCCCGCCGCTTTCTGTCCCGCTCTCCTGCCTTCTTCAGGGCCGAATCGTCTGCCGGGTACCTGCGGTCAGCTCCCCTTTGCTGGAGTTAGCTGGCGTAGCTTTGTGCGGCTTGGTGCTGTGGCCGATGCAGAGGGACACACGGATGTGGTTTTGAAGGCTTCAACCAGTCAGTCCTCAGTGCGAACAGAGGCGAAGGGAAGCTGTACGTCCGCGGGGGCGTGAGGCACTCACCTCGGCACCGAGCCATGCCACAGCCGTCACATCCATTTGGGTGGCTGTGGTTGGTGGGGACTTTTAGTGGATCATTTCTTTTTTAAAAAGTTGATTTATTTTGAGAGAGAGAGAGTGAGCACGTGTGTGAGCAGGGTAGGAGGAGGGACAGAGAGAGAGGCAGAGAGAGGGAATCCCAGGCAGGCTCCACACCGGCACCGCGGAGCCTGACGTGGGCCTCGAACTCACCAACCGCGAGATCATGACCCGAGCTGAAATCAAGAGTCAGATGCTTAACTGCCTGAGTCTCCCCCCGCCTCCCCCGGCGCCTCTAGTGGAGATAGTTTCAAAACTGTATTCGTACTTTAGAATATTTAAATAAAAAGAGAAAGAAGAACCTGAACAGAAGCATAGAGAATGTTCTTTTCCTCATCCAAGTCTTGCACGTGTGCGGATTGAAGGAGCCTGGCGGTCAGAGCGTGTAAGGCTCGAGGGTTTGGTCACTGCGCATCCTCCGAGCCTCGGGCCAGGTTGGACCCCGAGGCAGGGGTGCTGTGGCCTCCGGCGGTGAGAGCTGGCCTCCGGCTTCTCCTTGTGCTCTCTCTCTCTGGCCAGCGTCCTCAGGCCTGCGCCGCTGAACCTGCACACTTGTCGGGAGGACTTTTTTTCCTAGCGCGCCGAGTTCAGTGTGACATTTAGTTCGCTCCCCTGCCCTCTCTTCTGCCTCTGACTTTTACAATATTGATTTTTAATCTTCTGCATGAGGGAATAGTTCAGCTCATTATTGGGAAAAGTTCATAAAACTAATGATGAGAAAAGATAATAATTTTTATGACCTACGTCTGATGACAAGAGGGTTCTCATTTCCTGTCTAGTGCAGTAGTGGGCTGTTTTGGACTATGTCTCTGCATGTTTTCTGCCACTTGAAGCCTGGTAGAGTCCCAGATATAGTCGGGGTGAAGGCCCGGGGGGTCCTTGCAGCCTGTGTGCGTGAGGTATGCTGTCCCTTTGACTTCGGGGAGCACGTCTGCAGCCCCAGCCGTTCTAGAGACAAGTCAGAAAGGACAGAGCACTTTCTTGGGCTGAGTCTACTGTAGGGGAGGTTGAGGTTCATGACCTTGCCTGTTGGATTCCTGACACGTCATTAGGTATGGGATTGCAGTGTATCTGACAGGAAGCAAAAACTTTCATTTCATTAAATTTCTCATTTGGTGAGCGATTCTCTCATTAGTTTCTATCGATACTCTCTGTGTGCCTGTTACGTTAGGCCCTGGGTTCATTTCTCGATAAATGGAAATAAATGAGAAGCAGCCTCTGATCTTGAGAAGCCGCGTTCGTTAGCAGAGGTGAGTATTCTCAGAAATGACTGGACGGTGCTACAGATCCGACCAAGGGGACAGGAAGGCACTAGGGGAGGAAACAGGTGGCAGCCACAGCTTCTCTGCCCGGCGGGTTGGGTCTCCTGAGGGGAGGCCTCCCACGGCTGGATCTTGAAGACTTGCTCA